TAAAAAATAAATACATAAAAACAATTACACATAAAAAACTGTAAAAACACATAAAACAGGACAAAATTAAGGAGGATATGTTATGTGCAGTGTAACTGAGTATCACATACTTGGAATAACGGGCTTGTTTTCATTATACCTTGCTTATTAGTTTCCAGAGCCATGTTGTACGCGCTTATAAAAATGCTTCACTTTTATGTTCCAAGACCATTCTTATGCATTTAAATATGTTATAGCAACAGCTTGCTACCTTGGTATTTTAACACAGTACCATTTATTAACAACAAGGAAATATAACATTATTTTTAAAATCTTTTCAGGCAACACTTATAATATCCCAATATGCCTATGGCTACTGGACACATATCCGTTCAATCCCCCAATCTGTTTTGTTAAACCAACTAGTTCAATGACAATTAAAACTGGGAAGCATGTTGATGCAAATGGCAGGATATATCTTCCATATCTACATGAATGGAAACATGTAAGTATAATTTTAAGGTTTTTAAACAATAATAAATTGTTTTGAGATATAAATTTAGTTTTATTTTATATTCCTCTGATCATTTAAAGTAATAGGAGAATGCACTTGGATACCTGGGGGGTCTGTTGAGTGTAATATTAGATTCTTACAAGGTTTTAACATTAACGATTTTGCAATGTTTCCTTTGGTGTTACTAAGAATTGCAACTGAAATAACATGTTTTAAACTGTTGCTGTTGCCTATAATTAGTATAATTCATTGATGTGAGTTCACACTGTCATCAGCATTTTCCCAGTGGTATGTTATTTTTTAAGTTTTGGCAGCTCCTGTTAATTGAATGGTGACTACGGTGAGTGAAACCTGTACATAGAAGGAAAGGGTAACCAACTAATTTTCAGCAACTGATGAGATGTTTGATCTGTTGTTATAGTTAATGAGCAATTAAGCTATCTTTGTTGAAGAAAAAAATTAACTGTCTTCTCTGCTTTAACTTCTAGCCACAGTCAGATTTGATAGGACTGATTCAAGTTATGATTGTGGTGTTTGGAGAGGAACCTCCAGTCTTTTCTCGACCTAACATTTCAGCTTCCTACCCACCTTACCAAGCAACAGGGCCACCAAACAGTAAGCATCTTACATCCACTATAATATGTCAATAATCGTGAGCACAAACATACATTTTTCTGTTTGTTTCTCTGGAAGAGTCCAGCTGTTGTGTCACTGTATTTAGGTTGTTACAGAATAATAATAATAATAATTGCAATAATGATTGTTATTGTGCCTATATTATTGTTGGTCACACAGTCAGCCAGAGGTTTATACTGGATTTGGCATTTTTATCCACCTATTAAGGACCTGGGACCTGGGATAGGCAGATGTTGTTTGATGGTGTTAAAGGTATTGTTGCAGGATGTAAGCTGTTCCAAGGAAAGCTGCCTTTTGCAATGGACCGATGGTGATTTTGTCAATGCCGATGGTGTTCAAGTGGTGC